GGGGCGGAGGGGCGCGAGCGGCGCGCGGCCCGCCTTGGCAGGGATGCAGCCGGGCCGTCCGCCGGACGGCGTCGAGGGCGCGCCGGGCGCAGCGCCGCAAGACAGCCGTGCGGTGGCGCCGCGGGCCGGCCGGCGCCGCCTCCGCGGCATGGGGCGCAGCATGGGGCGTCGCCGCTGCAATTGACGAGTTGGCCAAGCCCGGCGGGCCCGTCCCCCCAAGGGGCCAGGGCCGCCGCCCCAAGCACGAGCCCTCAGAGCTGAGGGCCAGGTTGTCTCTGCACACGCGCAACTCGCCACGCCGCCCCCTGCAGCCAGCTCAGTCAGCGACTCCGAGTCAGCGAGGCCACTGAGGTGCTGACCAGCTGCCGCTGCAGTTGACATATTCACTGCTGGACCCCGTGTGTGCACACTGCGCATCCATCTAGCCCCTGCTGCAGCCACTCGAAATCAGCTGCACCAGCAGCCGCCGACCGCCTGGCGCTGCAGCCTGGGCCATGCCGCCGTCGAGCCACGCTCACCGATGAGCGCGACCATTTCGAATCTTTCCGCGACGTCGTCCACTGTTTCCTCCCCAACTGCCAGGTGCGTAAGCATGGCGCCAGCAGGTTGTTCAACATGCGGCCACTGACGTTGATGCTACAAGGCAAGCAGCATGTTGGACGCAACGAGCGCATCGCAGCGCATGCAGCAGCTGAGCCCACCTGGCGCAGCATCTAGCGCAGGCGCCGCCATGCTTGAAGGCAGTGTCGCGTCCATGAGCGTCCTGAATTATTAGATCGTTGATCTACATTGCAGTGACCACATTGTGAAGCCCTGCCGCGTGATATCAAAAACTGGGTGGTTCGATCTGACGACACGCTGGAATGTGGGAATGTATGCGTGGGTCGCTTACATAGGAACGATGTCAGGCAGCAGAATACCGGTATTGCGGATTGCACGCCAACACCACGCATACGCTGCTGCGTTGGCGCAGCGGGCTGCCGCTGAGCCACAGCACGTTTACGCGGGCTGCCGCTGAGCCGCAGCACACTGCAGTCCAGGACCATGCGCTGTTTCCTTGATCAATGGCAGAGCACCTCACTGAGTGAACCCATCAAAAACGACTTGGTGAAACAGTTGCAGGCTCGCTCACCTCCCTACCCGCTTTTGAAATTGCTGCGTGCTGTCACAGCAAGGGCAAGGGCAGGCGCAAAGAAAACCGCATGGGCAGGCGCAAAGACAACCCCACATACAGTAATGTGGACTTTCCCAAGTGATGACAGTATGGCAGCACCGCTGGCGTGTGTGGTTTGTGGTTTGCTGTGCACAACCTCATCAGTTTTGCGGTGTGCGCTAGCTGCCTTGCGTGGCGGCGCCGCCCAGCGCACACGGGGCTAAACATGCACATTTGCGTGTGAGCGAGCGAGGCCACAGGCACGCGCAGGATTGTGGGAGGGCCAGTGTGCGGGGGCCCAAGCCGCAGCAGCAACGCCTACCAACATAGAGTGTGTGTGTGTGTGTGTGTGTGTGTGTGTGTGTGTCATGTGCGCGCATGCGTGAGTGCGTGCGTGTGAGTGCGTGTGGGTGTGCGTGCGTATGCGTGAGTGCGTGCGTGTGTATCCTTGTACCTTGCATGGGCAGTGGGGCTTTGGTTTCAGAAGATCACGTTGCGCTTCTGCATTTCCAAAGCACCGCCACACTTTTTGTACCGCCCGCGCCGCCCATCCTCCCATGTCCTCATCGCTGAAAACCAAGGGGCCAGCTGACCGGCAGCACGACCGTTCCCTGAATGACACTTGCTCCCGGACGCAAGTTGGCCGTTAGTTGCGAGGCTGCATTACCCCTATGTGTGTGGTGCAACGACTAGTACTAGTACAGTACATTTCTATGCATTTCAACAACAAGTGCTGCCGTTTCATTATGCTTGAATGACACCCCTCAGAGCCAGGTGGGTGCTCCCTTCCCTCTCAGCTGCCAACTGAACATCAGCATCACAGTGCCATGCGGTATGCACACATGGCCCTGCCCGGCATGCCGCGTCGCTGGTTGCCCTTCGACTGCTGCACAGCAGGCGCCCTGCTGTTGCGGACGCTCAGCGGCCTCCTGCTGGGCACCAGGAGGGTGTAGTCGCGGTCCCTGCACGCCTCCATGAAGGGGCCTACCCGGCCAGGAGGCAGGGTCGTCCCCGAGGCCAGGACCCCGTGCAACTGCTTGCCCTTCAGTTGGACAGCCGGCCCCACGAGCTTCTCCTCCCTGTGAAGCACGCACGTGGACGCACCACACATCAGCGAGCTATCGAATAGGCGCTGGGGTGGGAGTGACAGCATTTTCAGGTTCCTCGTGTCAAGGCCAAATGACTCTCGTGGCCACAAGCTAGACACGAGCGACCCCCGACACAACCCACACATGCTCGCACGTGGCCAGGCTGGCCGGAGAGTGCACTCAAGAACAGCACACTGTGTACAGCGCATCTGACAAGTGCAATGCCATTGCAGAACATAGCTCACTCTATGACATCCAGGCACGATTCCAGCTGCAAGACGGAATCGTCGTTGAGGTGCGGCTTCGCCTCGACGATGGCTGCGCAGTCATCAGCGATCACCACGCCGGCCACGTCCCACTGCTGGCCGTCGGCGCTGCGGATGACCCTGATGTCCGCAGAAAACGCGTCAGGGTTATCCTGCCGCATCAGCTCCAGCACTCTGTCGGTCGCACATACCGCGAGGCTCCTCTCGGTCGAGAGGAAAAAGCCCTCCAGCGTGGACGTCTGCGGGTGGACGTTTCCAAGTGGGACCAATGACGCGTAAGAGACAGCCACAAGCTGTGGTGTTGACGGAGCAAAGAGACCCTGTGCACCAGAGTTGGGCCTTGTTCTGGTCTGGTGGCTGCTTGTGGACTTTTCCCCCCTCACAGCAAAGCGGAGATTGCCAGGCTCGCTCGTCCCTTGTCAGCACGAGGCGCGACGAGAGGCACGGCATAAGGGACGCACCCGCTGCTCATACGGCGGCCGGCCTGACAGAGCCTTCACGACGATGTTGTCGTGCAGCTGGACGCCCACGAGGGCGGTGTCCCGGCCGTTGACCGGGTCAACCACCACGTCGCAGTCGTACCTGTCCAAGACGCGCTGGAGGTGGCCGCGGTCAACGCGGTCAAAGCAGAAGAGGACCTCGTCTTCGTCATCCAGAATGTTCAGGTACACGTTGCTGTATACTTCCGCGCTTCCTGCGCCACAGTAGCAGGTGAGTATGCCGGACCATCGACAGTCCGGCGACGACGATGTTGCGGGGGCACAGCAGGCCGCCGCGGGATGGAAGTCTAGGGCTGCCGCGTGACAACAGCTGCAGTTGTGTGCGGCAGCAGTGCCGGTGTGTGTGCGGCCTGGAAGCAGCCAGCTTCACCACAAAGTTGAGTATTGATAGATCTGGTGTACACAAACAAGAGCCCTGGCCCTAGCTGCTGTTGGCTACACGCGCAACTCAGGCAGCAGCGCGCTAGCAACGCACCTTGCAACGTTGGCGCTGTGAGAGCCCGCAGAAGGACCCCCCTCGAGCGCTCCAGCTCCACCAACCAGTCAACAACGAGCTTTTCAGAGTTGGCATCCGAAGCGTCTAGAAGATTTACACACGCTTGAATGGAGGCGTTGATCTTGCTGAGCTGCTCCTTTACGTCGGACACATCCATGGGGCCTTCCAGGAATCCAGGCCTGGGAGCCAGAAGTGGGATGATGTTTTGGAAGCGCATCTAAGTGGTGTGCACGCTACTCAAGATTTTGCATCACCGCAGCCTTCGTCGAGATGGGGAAGGCCAACACGACGAGGGATGATGGCAGGCCAGTGGCATGATGAGCAGCAGCCCGTCAGCACGCCACCCCTGGGCGCTCTGGCCTGGCAGCAACTAGGCGCCCCTCAGCCTCGTTCAAAGACAGACTCCAGCGTTAATCTTCTGGCCACACTATGGACAGCCCCAGCGGGCTTGCAATGAGCAGCTGGCAGCAAGCCAGGTTGGGCGCACAGGCGACGAGGGATCCAAGTGGCACTCACCGCCTCGGTGGGTTAAATAAGCGGAGGCTCTGGCTGGAGCGCAGGTGAGTGCTTCGTACCGATATCTTATGCGTGTCTCAGTGACGTTGTGCGACCCCGCAAGTGCCGCTGCCCCGAGCGGGTACCTCAATCACTTCGATCTGAATTGGAGGGTGGCGTTTGAACGTGTTATTTAGAATATTCTCATATGCACGGGTGCCATAGCATACGATAAGGCTCACGTCGATGGTACTCAACGCTCGCCTCTGCATTTCGCGGGCTTCCACAGAACACTGCATACGTGGTCGATTGTATCTGAGATCAACGGCAGGAATCATCAGCCCATGCTCATCAAATCATTGAAGTGGTCTCGGCGTAGCAGTTCCTCTGACAGCCTCATCCACCCACCCTCGCTGTATATCAGGGCACGGATTTTTTGTATAGGGAGGCATATAAGGCATACATGCACCAACGCTGCTGCCTCGGGAAGCCATGCGCGGCGGCAGTGGCAACAGGGCCGCTCAAAGTGCTTGTGCTTGTGCTGGTAGCGGCAGCACACACGGGTGTGCACGCCGTGGGTGATGGGCAGCAGCATGGCATCACCTGGGCAGTGCAGGTGAGGTTAAGATCATTTTGATAGGAATTAGCCCAGGCTGATAAAGTCGTCGGCAGCAGGCAATGGCTGGGTTCAGCGCAGCGTGTACAGATGCCAGCCAAGTCTGCCCAACTGCGACTAGACACACGCAGGCTCAGCACCAGTACTCTCCTCCTCTCTATCACCACCCTGAGCCAGATCTCAGATCTCCACATCAGCCGCTACGTGCACCCCGAGATCGCGCCAGATCTGGAGGCCTTTGGGCGAGGCGTCCTCTCGGCGCTGCGGCCGTCGGCGCTGCTGCTGACCGGAGACCTAGTTGATGCGAAGACAGCAAACCGAGAAGGCAGCGCCCAGCACCCGGAAGAGTGGGAGGTGGGCTTGGCAGTTGCACGTCTGCGCCGATCTGTCTGGGAGTCAGGGGCCGACGCCCCGCTCGATGCATGCAGCGATCAAGAGGCCTGTTTCGCGGCGGCAGCTGCATGAGAGCTCGTGGTCTTGCCCCGGCGCAGTGTCCTGCCTTCCGGGCGCAGCACAACATGCATAGGGCCTTGAAGGGTGCGGGCCCGGCCCAAGCTCTTCGGTGGCATCAGCGGCGGGCGGCGCATGGGGCCGCGAGCGGGCGCATGGGCCCGCGCTTTTGGCTGCATGCGGACGCTCATTCGCATGTGCATGGCGATCTTCACGTGCTGCGTGTGTGTGCTCCCGCCCCACCCACACGCCATGCAGTCCAAGCTGCTGCTCCCTGTCCCTCACCCACTCCTTTCCCTCGTCTCCTTCCCCCTCCCCCTCGCCCCCCACACACAAAGACACGTGCCCTCACTCTCCCTCTCCCCTCACACCTTTCCCTCAATCTCTCACGCGCCCTTGCGCTCCTTCATTCCTCACACCTGGGCCCCACCCCCCAGACACATGCGTACCTCATCCCATCCTCTCCGCGTTCACCCTACCCGCAGTCTTATGGCCGCGCGTGGCGCCATCTTGCGTCCGCGGCCGGCTTATCCCCAGACCATGTCCTGGACTTGAGGGGAAACCATGACGCCTTCGACACACGCCGCGACTCCGCCTCAGACCCCTTCCTCCAGCACTCCGCCTCCGCCGCCGCGGCCCCGGGCGCCGCGGCCGTGGCCGCGACCGCGACCGCCCGCGCGCGCGCGACGCGGCTGGCGCCACGACTCGTGCTCCGCGCTGGCGGCTCGCCTGATTTGAATGCGGCTAGTGCGCGCGCGTGCCCGGCGGCGGTGCTGGTCGGGATCGACGCGGCGCCCGACACCCGCATGTACGCCTACACCAACTTTTTTGGCGTCCTCGACGCCTCCGCGCTCGCCGAGGCGTCCGCTGCACTCGCGACCACGACGGCAGAGCGCTGCGACGGCGCGGACGGCGCCGTAGCGGCCGCCGCGCTGGCGGCGCCGCCGGTGATCTTGTCTTATAGCCATTACCCTCTGGGCTTGATCTCCTCATCACCGAAGCCCGGGCTCTGGCGCGGCGGGGGGCGCGAGCTTGCGCGTATTCTGGCCCGCCATGACGTCACCGCCCACGTCAGCGGGCACCTGCACGACCTGGCGGGAAGCTTCATGTACCGGCGCCACCTGGCGGGCGCCGACGCCTCGAGCCCGGGGTCGTCAGCAGTGGCTGAGTTCGAGGCGGGCGACTGGAAGGCGAAGAGGCGGTGGCGGCTGCTGGCGGTCGACGGGCCGGGGGTGACGGTGGCGGACTTTGACTTTGAGGGGCGGAGGGTGCGCAGCTTGGAGCCGTCCGCGACGGTGAGCGACCCGGGTTCAACTCCTGCCTGTGACGTTTTACGGCGGGGAGGTGCGAAGGCGGCGCATCGCAGCTTGGCATGGGGCAGATCTTGGATGCTTGCGGCGAGCTGACTCGGCAGCCCGCTTCACATGGCAGCACAAAGGTGGGCGCAGCAGCAGCGTCCCGCATTCCGAATCCTGCCGACCTTTTCTCCATCGCTGGCACCATGGAGCCTGCTCCCCCGCTCGCCTGCCCGTCAAATAGGTCGGATCGCACATTGTCATCATAACCCATGCCTCGGTCTCCGGCGGCCCCGGCGAGGCCGCCTCCACCGCCGCAGACGGCGGCGGCCTCCTCCCAAATGCTCGCGCCCTCGTGTTCCCCATCGCCCCCGCCGGCGGCGACGGCGAGGCCGCCCGCGCGCCTGCCGTCCGGTCCGCGGCGCTGCGGTGGGCGTGCGGGGCCGCGCCGGGCGGCGCGGCGGCGGTGGCGGGCGCGGTGCCGCTCACAGAGGGGACGCAGCACCCGGCCGTGGTCCCGGTGGAGGGTACAGCAGCGGATCATGTCAGCGGCAGCGGCGGCGAGGACGGCGGTAATGGTGGCGGGAACCGGACGGACGCGTCTCTGCTGTATGTGGGCGTGATCGGGGGTCACGTCGCAGTGGGCTGCGGCCACAAGCTCTGGGCGCAGGTGGGTGGTCATCGGGCGCTCATCCGCCACCAGGCTGCCGGCGCTGCGCCGCGTCGAGCCTCCGCCCCCTGTGTTCTGATGAGTCTTCAGGCCGCAGCCAGGCTTTCTGTTTCGGCCGCAAGGAGTTGAGTGTGGGCGGTTGCGCCGCCTTCCGCAGCCATCACCCGCCCAACTTTGCGCGTCAACCGCTGCAACCGCCGCGGCCGGCAAGGCTGTCGTGACGGACGACGATGGCGGGATGTCCACGTCAGCGTGGCGCCAGGTGGCGCAGCACGAGGGCGCGGCGAGGGGGGCGCACGCGGCAGGTGCGTCGCCGATCGCTGGGGCGTCATCTTCTCTCATCGTTACTGCCACTACCACCTTCTTCTTGTGAAGCTGCCAGTCTCGGCCTGGCTGGGTCTGCACAGTGGGCTGCATTTCCTGGTTTCAAGGTGTTTCGAGCAGAGCCGTGCGCTTTTTTCCAGTGCGATTTTTGTCACGCCCGGGCCGTAGCTCGCCCAGGACCTCTCCCACCGCCGCAGCAACGCTTTAGTTTCATCCCGCCGTCTCACGCGGCCTGGAGCGGCCTTCAAACGTGTCAGCCCCTCGCGCCCCGGCCCACCTCGATGCAACCCCCGGCCCATCTGATGTGAGACGGCGCCGCCTCGCGCGCGCCGCCGCAGGCGTGGAGGGGGAGGCGGCGCTGGTCCGGCCCAACCGGCGGTCGTCATTCCTGCTGGGCTCCCTGGACTGGCCGCGCCGCGCGCGGCACCTCGCCGTCGCCAGCTGGGCGGCCCACCTGCTGCTGCTGCTGCTGCTCCCGCGGTTCTTCGGGGGCGCCGTGCTCTCCGCGCACGCGCGGCTGTCGTACCCGCTGCTCGGGCGCCCCCCGAGCCTGATTCGCCTCGCGAGCGGCGGCCGCGCGC